GATGCCTCCCTTTTGGGCTGGGATGCACACATCAATGGCATGTCCATGCAAAATAGGTGGTCTGCAGCGGAAGCCATTTCCCATATCAACCTCCTGGAACTAAAAGTGGTAGTCTTCACTTGCAAACATTTCTGCACATACATTACTGGCATGACCATCTAAGTTTTTATGGACAGCATAGCAACTATGTATTATATCAATCAACAAGGAGGAGCATGATCCCGACTACTCTGCACATAGGCAGTCCGCTTATGGAACTGGTGTGTATGAAACCACATCACTCTGGTAGCATCCTACTCACCGGGCATGAGCAACATCATGGCCGATGCTCTCAGCAGATATTTCCCTCACGACCACGAGTGGGAAATCTGCCCCAATGTCCTGGACAACATCTTCCAAGTTTAGGGATCGCCACACATAGACCTCTTTGCGACCCACGGCAACAGGAAGTGTCACCTTTATTGCTTTAGAGGAGGCATGGGCAAAGGGTCCCTTGGGGATGTACTGTTAATCCATTCGGAAGTGCCTCTGCTCTATGTGTTCCCACCGATAATACTTATTCCGAAAATCAGAGAAGACTCAGCCCAAGTCACACTCCTAGCACCAGCCTGGGCAAGACAACCGTGGTACCCTTTTCTTCATAGGATGTCCCTGTTATCACCATGTCCCTTACCATTTCTGCCAGATCTTCTCTCTCAGAACCAGGAGTTCCTGCTACACCCCAGACCAGAGACCCTCCACCTAACAGCATGGCTCCTAGCTGGTTGGGACTAGACGAGCAACTTTGTTCAGAGGCAGTGAAGACAGTACTGTTGAACAGTAGAAAACAAACTACAAGAAGGACTTATCTGGCAAAAATGGAGCAGATTCGTGGCTTGGTGTAAGAACAGTGACATTGAACCACACTGGCATAAAATCCTTGATTATATCCTCTCCTTCCACCAAGCAGGTCTTTCGATCTCTACCCTAAGGGTACACCTGTCAGCAATCACTGCCTTCCTTGCCACCAACGACGGTCAGTTCATCTTTGCACACCCCATGACCAAAAGATTGCTCAAGGGAATAAACCTAAATCCCCTGCATAGACCCGTGCCCCCCGCTTGGATCTTGTACTTGGTTCTCGACATGTTGATGTATTCACCCTTCGAACCACTAGCCACTATGTTATCTATGCTCAACATGAAAGTGGTATTCTTATTGGCAATTACGTCCACCCGTAGGGTTAGCGAATTGATGGCATTAATGGCAACGCCACCCTTCACGGTTTTCAACAAGGATTAGGTCATGTTGCCCGCTCATCCAGCTTTTATCCCTAAAGTCACGTCACAAAATTCATGTCAACGAACCCATCATCTTACCCGTCTTTTATCCAAAGGCACATGCCTCTACTTGACACTCGCTACTCCATATCCTCGATGTATGTCAAGCTATTGCATTTTATATAGACAGAACACGGACCTGGCGCAAAACCAACAGCCTAACAGTATCCATAGCAGACCGCTCCAAAGGCAACCTGTTGTCCTCTCAGCGTCTTTCCAGGATCATAATCTCTTGCATCATAACATGTCACTTGATCCGCAACAAGCCTCTCCAGACACTACCCAGGGCAGTGGCAACATTCACGGTGTTTGTCAGAGGAGTCTCTCTGCCGGAAATCTGCAGAGCAGCCACATGGTCCTCCAACTTGACCTTTATGAACCACTATGCAATAGTGCAGTGGTGGACACCTGATTCCTCGGTGACCTCAACAGTACTTTCGGTCATTGACAAACCTGAATTCCAGGAACACAACATGAGTACTGCTACAGTCACCATGAGTGGCGCACCCACGGGGACCACTCGAAGAAGTTACCTTCGTGCAGTAATGATGGTTCTTCAAGATGGGTCTCTGTGGGTGCTCCACATCCCACCCTTCCTCCCCATTCCAGAGTTGTTTCTTCTTCTTTGTATCTTCACAGATACCAAACGGTGACAGGAACTGACAGGTAAGCCAGGTGCGCGTGAAGATCAAAGGCACAAATGGCACGTGCTGCACAGTGTGCATGCACAACATGGCTGAATACAGCTATGCAAAGCCTCCGAGCTGCGGCGCTGGGACAAGCCTAACACCGTGAGTAGAGCACCCACGGGGACCCATCTCGAAAAACCATCATTATTGCACGAAGGTAACTTCTTCTTGCGCAAGAATGGGTGTTCTTCCGCAAGAACCCACAAAGCATCCACACGGCCTGCCAGCTCTTGTGCAAGAAAATTTACAGTAAAGCGTGGGAAGAGAGGGCTTCTTGCGCAAGAGCTACGCTCTTTTCTAACAAGCGTAAGCCCTCTTGCTCAAGAGCTCTTGTGCAAGAGGGCAGTGTGGACGCGCAGCAGGGGTTTCTTGAGCAAGAAATCCCTATAGCTAAAATGGCCATCAGAGCTTTTTTGTGCAAGAGAGCGTCCACACTGCCATGGATGCTCTTGTGCAAAAGCAAATGGCAGTGTGGACATGTTCTTGTGCAAGAGTTCTTTGAAAAGAACCCTTGTGCAAGATGTTCAAGACCCGCCAGTGTAGACATAGCCCCTGTCTGCAGCCCAGTGTTCTCCAGTGTTTCTGGATATGGGAATGGTAATGACACTGTTACCATAAGGATACTTTTCTGATTCTATCAATTTCCTTGCTAAAAATACATTGATATTTTTGTGCAGTACAGCTGTACTGGCATTAGGTTGTATTTAGTGCTGTAGAAATACAGAGACCTGTGGATTTATATACTTATCCAAGCCCCTTATACCAGACATCTGATGCAAAGAAGCTTTCATGACACTTCCAATTCTTCCTGCTTTTATTTGGTTCTGAAGTGATGTGGAAACACAAGAGATATTTATTAACATGTGAGTGTGTGACCATAAGAAGTATTTTGGAATTTCTGTTTGTTACAAAAGTCAAAATCTTAGTGGGTATTACTGTGTGTAAAAAAAAGTCAATTAATACAACTTTTTGCTTATCTAAAAAATATTTGGTTCAATTTGATTTTTAGGTGATTTGGGTAGCTGTCCTAATCTGTAAGTGTACCTCTACACTTGTCCCCTACTTCAAAGTAGGGAGGCAAATAGGGAGGCGCAGCCGGTCGCCATTTTAAAATGCCGGTCGCCCAATGTAACTTGCCGCGTGTAGACGCGGTAGTCCGATTTAAATCCCTTCCCTCGAATTAACTAGTACTGAGGAGTGCAGGAGGAATAACAGGTAGTTCGAAATAGGGCTTTATTTTGAAAGCCCATTTCACTGCCGAAGCAAAATGCAGGACAATGTAGCACTTTAAAGACTAACAAGATGGTTTATTAGATGATGAATTATTATTCTACATTTCACTGCCGTGTGTATATGTGGGCAGTTATTCCAGGGCAGTCACTTTTTCAAAAGAAGAGGTTGCATTCTAGACGCTCTCTTTCGAAAGAGGCTTGCAGTCTAGACTTACCCTAAGAGTCCAGTAAGCAGTGGCAATCTGGGGAATGCCGCTAGACGATACTGACCGCCCCTGGTTCAGTGGTTTTCTCCCAGAGGGTGAAGGACTCATTGTCTAAGGTAAATACCGTGGTTAGTTCTTCATCTGCCAAATGAAAGGTTCTTGCAGACACCGAGGGCGGGACAGAAAATCTGCTTTTTCTTTTTCTCACAAACCGTGGAGCGTCCAGACGGGAATTCCCTGCAAGGCTCTTCCAGCTCTCCGGGTCTAGGACTCTGTGACTGGGGGGAGCGGCCGGCTCGGCAGCCTTGGAACATGCAGCCCCCGCCCCAGTCACCCGGTAGGTCCACGGGAAACAAAGCGCCGAGAGGGGCTGAAGAACTTGACTGTGCGGCCCTCGGCCGCCTGGGAGACCCGCCCCCACTTCTCCCCTGGGGCTTGGGGGGGGGGGAACTGCCCCAGCCCGGCTCCCCCCGCCCCCCGGGGGGGAGCGGCCGGCTCGGCAGCCTTGGAACATGCAGCCCCCGCCCCAGTCACCCGGTAGGTCCACGGGAAACAAAGCGCCGAGAGGGGCTGAAGAACTTGACTGTGCGGCCCTCGGCCGCCTGGGAGACCCGCCCCCACTTCTCCCCTGGGGCTTGGGGGGGGGGGAACTGCCCCAGCCCGGCTCCCCCCGCCCCCCG